GCGACTTATTATTTTATTTTATATCGTCCATGTGGCACATCCCGTATACTGTACACGGGTTAGGGTGTCACAACTTTTGGTATCAGAGCCACGTTCTTTCCTCGGGAAGGAATCGTGCTCATTACCCAACGGTTTTATGCGAAAAATGTTTTCAAACCATGTCCGAAGAAAATCCTCTTGTCCGAGGTCCGTACATTGATGATGCAGTATCGGTCATCAGTTGCTAAACTGTCTTAATGTGGTGCAGTGAAATGGCGCCACGACGTGCTAGGCTTGCAGCGAGGGCTGACGACATTCCCGATCAGGTTCCACCGCCTAACCCGGGAGACGAGAGCTGGAGGGCTGAGTTTCGGCAGTTCCAGGATACCGTGTGGCAACACCTGGCTACCCACGCACCACCACCCCCGTGAGAGACCCAGAGCTGAGAGAGGAGGACTTTCACCAGCCGCCGATACCTGTTGCGATGACGGGATACCTCCCCATCGTCAAGGAGCTGCGGGCGATGCGTACCCCGCGGTTCGAGGGATCGGTGAGACCGGAAGCTGCGGAGGAGTGGCTCACCGAGATCTCTCAGGACTTGGAGTATCTGCAGTGCCCGTACCAGTACCGGGCTATGATTGCGAGCCATCACCTGTCGGGCCAGGCCCGACATTGGTGGGCGAAGGTGGTGCAGGAGGCACCAGCGGGACACCGTTTCACCTGGGAGGAGTTCCGACAGGAGTTCGAGGCGAAGTATTTCCGGAGGCAGGACCATGAGTACCGCATGACCGAGTTCCTCATGTTGCAGCAGGGAGACATGACGGTCAGTGAGTACGAGGCGGAGTTCACCCGCCTTCTGATGTATGGAGGGCATCTGGTACCCACCGAGGCGTCGAGGATCCAGAAGTTCATTGCTGGACTCCGACCTTACCTGCGGAGGAAGATCGAGATCCAGGAGTACCCGACGCTGAGTCGATCCCCAGCTGGAGAAGGTGGAGCGTGGAGAGCGGGAGAAGAAGGAAGGGAAGACTCGTGAGCGGAGCCCTTTCAGGAAATGCTTCGGCACGTGTTCATCGGGGAAGAACATTCGGGCCAGCGATCCGCGTGACAAGGGCAAGGCGCCGGCTGTTCGTGCACCACCACCACCGGCGGCAAGGGGACCAGTGGTATGCTATCGTTGTGACCAGCCCGGACACATTGCGTCACGTTATCCGATGAGGCCTACGGGACCACTGGCCGTTGCACCGAGACCAGCTCGACCACCGGGCCAGGTGGACCGACCGCCCCGACCCCCAGCGAGGACTGGAGCTGCCCCGAG